TTAAATATATACCTTTCACCCTGGCCTGGCTGATAAGGAGTCGAACTCTGTAGCTCAATGGTTAACACATCTGCCTAAGAGGCCAAGGACAACAGGTGCCTCTCTGCCCAGGCACCCAGCCTCAGAGTCTCCAGCCAGAGAGCCAGAGAGTGGGTTCCCCCTTGACAATTGATGTGGGCATTGGTGGCCACATTGTCCGTCAGGAGGAGCACGTGACGCCCCTCCACCGAGGTCCAAAAGTGTTGTAGAGCTAGGTGGGCCACCTTCAACTCCAACCAATTTCTGTTGTGGTGGAGATCCGAGGCCGTCCACCTGCCCTGAGCCATGAGGGAACCCACCAGTGGCCCCCACCCGAACAGACTCGCATCTGTGGTGACGGTCACCCTGTCCAGCTCCCAGAAGCAGCAGCCCCGCTGAGTGGCCAGAGGAAGCCATCACCCCAGTGAGACCCGGACCCCCACCGGGAGGCGGAGAGTCCGAAGAGAATTGCTCAACTGTCCCCTCTGAAAGGGGATGAGCACCCACTGGAGGGGCCGAAGGTGAAGTCTGGCCCACGGGACAATCCCGATGCAAGAGACCATCTTGCTCAATAACTGCAATAGAGTGAGGATTGAAACTAACTGACTTCGGTGAACGCTTCCTGCCAGTTGACGTAGGCTGCTCTGACGCTCCTGGGACAGACGCACCACCCCCAACACGGAGTCTATGACCATCCCCATGTGGAGAATGCTCATGGAAGGGGAAAGGTGGCTCTTGGGAAAGTTCACCGAAAACCCCAGGCTTTGAAGGCTCCGAATGATGAGTCGAAGGTCCGAGATGGCCTGAGGAAGAGACCCCGCCTGAACCAAAACATCATCTAAATAACATTGGAGACGTACCGGGATGGAGCGCAGATGAGCCGCCAGGGCCACCAGAACCTTCGTGAAGGTCCGGGGAGCTGAAGCCAGCCCAAAGGGAAGAGCCCTGTATTGGTAGTGGCAGTTTCCGTGAGAGAACCTTAGAAACCTGCGATGACCAGCCAGAATTGGGATGTGAAGATAGGCCTCTGTGAGGTCTACCGAAGCCAAGAAGTCCCCCCTCCGGACACCCTGAAGGATAGACTTGAGGGAGGACATTTTAAAACACCTGTACCGTAGAAAATGATTCAGGCGCTTGAGGTCCAGAGTTGCTCTCCAGCCCCTCGAGCTCTTCGGAACCATGAACAGATTGGAGTAGTGGTCCAGGCCCCGTTCCTCTAGAGGAACTACCATCTGAATGTCGAGAAGGTGTGCGATGGCCTGATCCATCAGGCGGCGGCGCTCCAGGCTCCAGGACGGAGGGAACGACCTGAAGAGATTCGGAGGGGTGGAGAGAAATTCTAACCTGAGACCGTGACGAACCGTGGTTTGGATCCAAGTGTCCGACGTGATCTCGTCCCATTGATCCTCATAGAGGGAAAGGCGGCCGCCGATGGGACGACTCAGGTTCGAGTCACTTCCCTCAGCGGTAGGGATGGCCTCCTCCTCCACGAAAGGGCCGCCTGGACTGGTGCTGGAAATGGTTTCTGTCCTGAAAAGATGATCTGGGAAACGGTCTGTCAGATCGGAAAGAAGAAAAACACTGGTTATAGTCATAATCAGTGGCTCTATACTGTTGCCTACGATAAGGATGAGACTTAGACTCGGGCTTCTTAGCGTTAGATGGAAGAACCTTCTTGTCTTTATTCTCGACTAGAATGGGATCAAGGGCCTCCCCAAAAAGATTAGGCCCTTTGAATGGAGCGGCTGCTAGGTTCCACTTGGCCTTGTTGTCCATCTGCCAGTGACGCAGCCATAAGAGCCTGCGAGACATGACAGAAGTGGCCAAAGCACTGGACGCAAACTTGACCGTGTTCAGGGTCACATCAGCAGAAAACTGGCAGGCCACCATGATCCTGAAGAGCTCCTGGTGGAGCCGCTCATCCTGGATGGAAATACGCTCCTGGAGCTGCTTAAGCCACTTGACCGTGGCCCGGTTAAAATAGGAGGACGAGGCTGCGGACTTGATAGCCCAAGCAGTGGATGGGNGTGCTTTTTACTGTCTCAGGTACCTTAGGTCCAAACAAGAATGACCTTTCTAATCTCTAATCAATGGCTGGAACCTCCCATAGGGGAAAGTAAAAAGATTTCCAGATACAGGTTTGGGTGTCCTTTGCCATAGGGCAGGAGTGTCAAACTCACATCATCACAGTGGCTTCACATGACATATTGAGACTTTTTTCCCCTTTGCTAAACCAGGTGTGGGCAAAGCATGATGCATCTGGCCTGTGAGCCAGGAGTTTGACAGGGCTGGGAGTTTGACATCCCTGCCATAGGAGGAAAGTTAGGAGCCTCAAAGTGAGTGAAGAACCTTGCAATCTGTCCAGAGTTCTAACCACACATGGACAGCTGGATAACTATAAGAAACTTCCTAGCAGAGAGAGAATACAATAATACTCTCCTATTTATTTTCCACAGCAATTTTTGTTTATTGCTATGTTTTCACTTTATGGTGAGGAGGGATAGAAAGATAGTAAATAAAAGCTATCATGAGTTATTGTGCTTGCGTGTTTGATGTCAGTAGTTAGCCTGATTTCTCATATTGTCTGAGGTAATTTGATAAGATAATTGACATTATGTTGTACAACACTTGCAATCTGCTGGTATCTCTATTCCCCACTTCCTGAACTGGAGGTACAGGTAATGAGAGTTCCCTTAGTGAACGTTCGAAGTTATGCAATAAGTGCCCACTAGCATTTATGAACAATTCCCAAAATTACAAATGTTGCAACAACTATGCTTGTTCGCTCCTACGAAGGATGGGAGAGGAAGCAATTGTGGGCAACCCAAGGGAGAGAAAATGAGGTATCTATGGGTTGAGGGAGGCTTTGTGTGGTCTGTTCCATTACTAAGCCCCGACGGCCTTTCCCACCCCAAGATACTTCATGTTCACTTAACGAGTCGCACATTCGATTAGCAAATGCATGGGCAAAAGGAGGGAGTGATCACGTTCATTGTATGAGATTCACTCTTACGAATTCTCGGGTTATGAATAGAATGGGCAGGCTCCGTTATATTCGTAACTCAAGGACTACCTGTAGCCTTCGCCAGTCATTGTATTTACTAGCTACTTAAACTCCATTAACAAGTTTTAAATCTTCCCATATGTTGACAAGCAGCACCTATTTTATTAGCAGCTTTCATAATTTAATATTTATTCTGTGAAATGCTTCCTTTTTTCTGTCCAAATTAGTATATTGCAAACAATTTAATAATGGTACTGTAGGTGTTGGTGAGGATTTTAAAATCATTTATGACAATTAGGTATGTTTTAAAACAAGGCTATTTCGATAAAAGTTGGTCTGATTTTGTTAGAAATTCCATCTTTAACTTCAAGAGTGCTTGTGAAATGAAGTTCATGGAAATGGAAAGTATTGAAAATTTTTCAGGCTTTGAAAGAGGTTTCAAGGAATAACTTCATAGCACATGCTTTTTTAAAGTTTTGAAATTAGGGAAAATATTTTTCAGTAAGTAACTTAAATCAACGAGGCATGTTTATTTCTAGTTTCCTTTGATAATTTCTTTAAGCCTCCTTGAATTCATAAGAATACAGATCTCTATATTGTAATATTCGTTCACATAATCATTGAGGTGTATCAGTGCCCAGTGTGTAATTTTTTTCATTTAAAAACGTCTGCCAAGCTTTCTTGCTGCTCCAATTAACACATTCAGTGCACGCTTGCCATTGAGTGATCTGTGTATATGGGTTAAACCATTTGTTATTTGTTCAGATTGCATTGTTTGTAGCAGGAATGAGCTGTGCATTGTTTATTCTGTAAACTAAGCAAGCAAAAGAAGAAAGTGAATAAAAATAAATGTAATCTTAAGTGATTAGAGGTTGTGTGGCTATAAATAACAAGGAGTAATTATTAGGTTGGAGAAAACCTCTTGTGTTTTCAGATGTGGTTCAGTCCATTGAGTAGCGTTTATCTCCTCCCCTCTGGCCCCACTTCAAATGATGAAGACAGAGAATAGTGAAATTCTATGGCTAGGATTCCTCTTGCTGTCAGATCCATTGTTAACTTTATTTCATTTATTAAAGTGTTCTTGCCATAAAGATCCTACCTTTTTAGCTTACCATTTCTTCTTTTTAAGTATTTGCTTTAAGATGTAGAGATAGTACCTTTGATTATTTTAATGCAGAGTCAGATGAAGGTAAAGCAGTGTCCTTTTATTGCCAGAGCTGAAGCTGATTTTTGAGTGGTGGCAAGCTGGCTGGTCAAAGGGGCCAATTCTCTCTCCTGGCTATTAATTATTTTGCCACCAGCTGTTTGTGAAGTGTAGCTCTGGGCAATAGCAACAAAAGATACACAGACCGGAGCCTGTGGGCTGGTGAATGAGATGGACCGTTTCTTGGGGTTGGTCAAGCAGATAAGGAGATCGAGAAGAAGAAAAGGAAAAAAGTACCGTCCGGAGGAAGATTATCACGAGGGCTATGAGGATGTATATTATTATGCCTCAGAGCATTTTCCAAGTAAGGACTGTACAAATGTTTTTCTTCTGTTACTATGACAAAGGGGGTTACTATTGTTTTAAGCTCAAAAAAGGGGATTGCAGCCTGTTTTTCTTTTTAGACATGTTGAAGGTGGTGGCTTTTTGTATAAGGCTACTATATTGTGTGAACGAAAGGAAAGCTCTGAAGAAAGGATTAATATTTCAAGTACATTTAATTGATTTCTATTGTGCAAGACTTTTATTAAATCACTCTAGTGCTTTAAACTCACACTGCAGACAATTTATAACAGTGCACGTGTGTGCCTGTGTGTTTGCTTCAGGGCTCTGTCCATGTACAGTATTGTAAGGAAATATCATTTTAAAACACTCTGAAAATGAGCTTGCTTACAAGATTAAGGTTGAAGTTAGAAATAAAACTGAACATAAACCAGTCTTTTAACATTTTTTAACATTTCCTTATTTTTTTTCAATAGAAAGTAAAGCTGGTTTATTTTTTCAGGTGTTCATTCATAGCATTGTTAGAAAATGAAAGAACTATTGTGTTAATTTATTCTGCAGCCATGTGCCTGCCACTGCATTTTATAAAAATTAGGAGCAATTCAACATCAATATTTGAAGCTAGAACATATAGTGTTCATAATATTCTTTGTGCCTGCATATTCCCTCATCTCGTGTGTTGTCTTGTACCTATTCCAGTAGATTTAAAATGCCCACGAATTCCTACAGGAACAATGGGCAAGGGAATCACACATAGGCTTGTCTGAATTTACTGTGCCATGCTTAAGGTAAAGGACATTGACAATATGAGCAGCCATAAACTAACAGATGTGTAGGAAGGATCATCTTTGCAATCAACAGTTTCTGTTCTGTTTATTCATGAGCATAACACATTTCTTTAAAAAATGTGTATATCAGTCTATGCTTTTTTATTCATAAATATAAAAGATGGCTTATAGTCTACTTTGCTGTGTGTTGCAGTTTATCTCCTTTTCCGAGAGGAGGAAGAAACAGAAGTTTTGCAGTTTTGGAAAAGTACATTGCTGGAATCATGTGGCAATGCTATATTTATCAACAGCAGAGTTTTTGATATAGAATTGTCATTTCTTTTTTTAAAAAAGTGTTGGTTGCATTGTATTTCTTTAGTCTATTACTTCTACATGTAAAGCAATGAATTCATGACAGGATTAATAGTATAATAGTATACTTATCAACTAATCAACATAAATATACTATGCAGAGTACAGAATCTGAAAGTGATTAAAATAGTAATTTGTACAACTTCTGTTATTGTACAATTTTAGAGTCTACAACTATTTAAACTAGTTTCCCTTTATCTTGGAAAATAAAATCAAAAGAAACAAATAGATCGCTTAATTCTATCAAAGCAGCTGTTTTTTTGAATAACTTTATTTTGCAAGAGTCTCTCCATTTAGAATGAACAGACAGATTCTTCTCCATGTAATCTTCCATGTTATCAATATAGTCATTCCAGCGTAGATTTATGTTACCAACCAATTTGCCTTTCAAAAGAAATCAAGTAAATAAAAAATGCTTTTTCTATTAGTAATTTATCATACTACCATCCGTTATGTAGCTGTTTTAATTTGGTTTATAACATTTACAGATTGCAAATAATTTTTTGTTTTAAAGTTGGGAAAGACTGTTTAACAAATAAAACTGATTTTAGTAGGGTTCAATTATAAATATATGGTTAGTCATAAGTGATTTTAAAAGTAATATTTATATTTCATAGATATTGAAATAATTGTCAAAAGATTTGAATGTTTTATCATATGATTTCTGGTACTCTGTTGAGTATTGGAATACATAGTTACTACTGTATAGAGATGTTATCTCTCATACTTTGCTTACTTGTACAGTAGTTACAGTAAATTAAAGTAATTTCTTTCTATGGTACAACTGTTATTATTTTATGTTGTGGGGAAGAAGCCTGACTCTGATTTATAGAAGAAAAGAAATTTTTCGAAAAAACACGACAGCAGAATACCCATTACCTTTCTATTCATTTTAAAGTGTGACTCTTTGTGTCTTCTGTCCTACTGGAAATCTACCAATTAATCTGACTTATTCCCACTGCTTCTGCAAGTATCTACAAGTGTCTGTGGATGTCAACCCTCTCAAGTAAATCAGGCAGGAAATAGGAATAGGTGAATTAATTCTACTTTATTGTAAGGTTACATTAGCAAAATCTTGCAAGTCTGAAAGTACAACCTCCCCACCCATGACTTTTTACTTCTTGATCCATTAGTGTGAGTTCTTTCTCAGTTTCTTTCTGTGACTATTCAGCAATTCTGAGCTCCTGCCTCTCTTGCCTGATTGTTTCCAAAGCAGCATCTCTCCTTCCTTTTCCTCAAGGCTACCCAAGCATTCTATTATATTGGGTCTTTATTTAGCAGCAGTGAAAAAATATATCATGCATGTTTACGTGTGCGTGAAATGAGAAAGCAGTCAAGTTAGAAATAGTTAATTATATATTTTTTGAGAAAAATATAAAATAAAGCAACATAGCTGATGGCCTTAAGTACTATTCACAATAAGTGTTAATAGTTACGTTCAAAACTTTGCTATGCAAATGTAGTATTGCTGCTCATCTCTCAGGTCTTAGCATCTTCAAAATCTTAAATATAATTGTAAAATTAATAATCACCTTAAAATGATTAATTATATACCACCAAGTTGGTATAGACTCCTTGTGATCATATAGATTTTCTCTGTGACAGTCTGTCCTTAACCTGGTCCTTCAGGCCTTCCAACAGTGCACCCATTTCCATGTAATTAAGTCCATCTACCTTGCTGCTGGTCATCATCATCTTCCTTTATCATTCCCAGCTTTAGAGCCTTTTTCAGAAAGCCAGGCCTTTGCATAATGTATTCAGAGAAAGATAATTTCAGCTTGTCATTTATGCCATAGCTCAGCGGTTAAGATTCTAGGCTTGTCAGCTGGAAAGCCAGCAGCCCAGGTTCGAGACCTGAGCGCCACACAATGGGGTGAGCTCCTGTCCTAGCCCCAGCTCCTGCCAACCTAGTATTTCTAAAGCATGCAAATGTGAGTAGATAAATAGGTACTACTTCAATGGGATGTTAACAGTGCTCCGTGACGTCATGCTGACCACATGACCACGGAAGTGTCTTTGGAGACTACTGACTAAATGGAGAAGAGCATTGCCCCCTATAGTCAGCAACGACTAGCTGAATAAAATCTGCAGGGACTCATTTACTTTTTTTCTGTTTGTGCTTAGAACTCTGGTGTGATCTGTTCGGAAATACATGTGTTTGTTTTATTGGCTAATAAGATACTGTCAAAGAATTGTCTCCAACACTAAAGTTCTGCTTTTGTTTCCAAAGATTGTCACTGAGAATACCATTGCTTGTACTGTTTTGAACCTTGGGTGCATAGACACATCATAGCAGATGAAATTTTTCAAAGCCCTTCATAACGACTCTAAAATAAAAATAGAGGTTTGAAATACATTTAGAACACATGGAATTAACTTAGGTAAGACTGTGTTAAACAAAAAGCGAGAAATTTGTTAAAGAATTTCAAACAGTGTTCCAAATTGGACGTTTTTCAAGTTTAAATGGAATCTTCCAACCTTACTGAAAGTTTTATGTCCAAACATTTCCAAAATAACCTGTAATTGGTCAAATTTGAAACGTATTGCATTCCTTTATTTGTAATATAAAGAGCTTTTAAAACAATGAACATATTTTGTTGCTACATTGATAAAGTGACCAGATTTTCAGATTGGTAAAGAGGGACACCTTTGACTGGGGGAGGGGGGGGGCTTGATTAAAAATTTCATACGGAGCAACAAAAATTTTCATATAACGCAAAAATAGTATTGTAATATTTTTTTTATTTCAACATAACTGATTTACAAATATAAATTGTAACTGTTGCCAAACATCAAAATTTTGAT